TGAATAGTTCAATGCCAAAGCAGGGTAGGTCAACTGTCTCGATAAATGATAAAACAAAAAAAAAAAAAAAAAAAAAAACTCCAACCGCTTTTTGTGGCTATTTTTGAGCGTTTAACGTGTATGTGATTTTTTGTAAGTTCGCATGTAAAAGTGAGAAAGCAAAAAATTGGTAAAATCTATTGAAATTCAAATTAGTTTTAATTTGGCTCCAGATGGGTTCACCAATTGTGATAAAGTCTTTCCTGTGGGATTATGTGCACGCGACGGTTTGAACAAAAAATCAATTCATTAAAAATTCAAATTAATGTTCGACTGAGAATTTTCGTAATTTTAAAATTGAGTGCAACAGTCAGCAATAATAAGTCAATTGGAGTTCATACGATAGGTTTGTCTTGTATCTGTAAGGAGTGATCCAGAAGTGGAGAAGTATTTTTCCATAGCCTTTTTTTGCTAGATCTCGCGTGAGTTGTGTCAAGCTGTCATTTTATTTTTGATCAGCATTGTTTGGCATTTTATCATGGAAAGACTTACCCCTGAACAACGTTTACAAATTGTTCAATGATTTTATGAAAATCATGTTCCGTAAATAATGTGTTTCGCGGGCTTCGCTTAACTTATGGTCAACATAATCGGCCTACTGAGCATACTATCACTCACCTGGAGACCTAGCATTTCTTATTGGATAATATTCGACCGAATATACCACGTCCAGCACGCAGTTAGTTACAGCAGCTTTAGCTGACAGAGGTGCATTTCACGTCGAAATTTAAAATTCAAAGCATAAAAAATATAGCTTGTGCAAGAACTGAAACCGCTCGAACTTCCTAAACGACATTGCCTCGCTCTATGTGGTCTTGAAATGTTCCAAGAAAATCCGATGCTTTCGATCCAAATTTTGTTCAGCGATGAGGTCCATTTCTAGCTCAATGGGTACGTAAACAAGCAAAATTGTCGCATCTGGGACGAAGAGCAACCTGAACTGTTTCTTTCTTACGAGGTGATATTTTTAACTGAGCATTATTTGAGTGGTCGAAAGTGGCCTCGTTATTATTCCAAATAAAACTGACATGGTGGTATTTACTAGGAGATACAAGATCTCGGAATCACCACTGCCGCGGATGGGAAGTATTCGCCTAAGTAATCTACGGAAGTATTTATGGTTCGTCTTAGATGTGAAGCTTTAATGGAATCATTACATCGAGGAGAGAGCAAATAAGATATTTATTACCTTATACTGCTGCAGAGGAGACATTGGGAAAAGGTAGTGTCTCTCACCGAAAGTAGTGCTCTGGCTCTACGACACCATAGTCAAGTCCCATATGTTCCATAGGGTCCTTGTGTAACGGAGTACTCTAGTAAAGACCATACTTGCAAGAGAAGTCGAGAGTGTTCTACGAGAGGCGCTCGTCAGCATGTGTGTTGCACTTCGGTGCATTCCAACCATGGCACTTAAAGCTATTCTGCATATAGTATCTATAGATATCGCCGAAAGGTGTATGGACCTGACAGCTGCTATGATAGCTAGCTTACACACTTTGACTTTATACCGGGTCTTTGGATTATAGTGTCACCAAACCAAATCTGACGGGGTTTTTTCCGCCTACATACCTGGTTCAAAGCTTGAGGGAATGTTGGAGGACGGATATATTGTCAGAAACTCTCTATCAACTTCAACTTCAACATCACTTCAGACATCTGGACAATTTCAGTGTTATGCTGCAGTGATTTACTGCTTTGTTGTGCAGCCTTCTATACAGAAGTGACTCTCTTCTCTGACAGCAGGGTGACGATACTAATCTTCCGCTCACTAGCTGGGTAATCAGAGGTGGTAAAGGAATGCCTAACCTTGTTATCAAATGCATCGAATGACTTTGCATTATAACTAGTATATGTGGCGCAGTGAAATCTTAAGTAACTGTAAAGCTAACGATCTGGAAAGGTAGGCATCATAGCCTCGCCATCGGAGGAATGGAAACGAACGGTGCTCTCCCTCCCTCGTCTGTTCTACCGCTGAGCCAACCATACCTTTGGTCCAAGTTCGATTGTAATCGATGCAGTGAGCCCTTTGCCTTTATTAATCCTATCCTCTCCTCGTTGTGATAGCTCTAACAGTCAATTACTCTATTCGCGCATAATGAGAATAATTCTCAGCTTTATTATTAGAAGAATTGGCTAGAGGGATATCTAATCAGCTGTCAACGTAAACGCATACGCTTGACATTTACATTTTGAATGCTTGGTATACAATTTGTCATGACCATTTCAATTTCGGAAAGTTCTTTAAGCTGTTCTAGTATCCAAAAAAAATATCTGTTGATATAAAGTTTTGATTTAATAATATCGGCTAGGTACTAAAATTGTCTACCTACGTCAAGTCATTGTTCTGTGCTGATAAACCAACTACGAGTGAACACTAGGAAGTCTTCAAAATGTTCTGGAAAAGATTTGGAGCCGATTCGAAAGCGAATTTTTAGATGGTCAGCTTAAAAAAACATGTTTCTGATTTTTCTTATTTCACTAATTGGAAGTATGTAGGATTATTTTACATTTTAGGAAATAATTAATTCCTCTACTACTGTCCAGATATCGACAGGGATTAGATAAATCGAATTTTTTTCAATTAAGTTTTTTTTCCGAGTTTCGAAAAGAGAGAGAATTTCCTTTTTATGTTCCTTTAAAAAAATCATTCGGTTGAAGAGTCAGACAAAAGTCATTTATATAATCCGTTTGCGGGACTATGCTAATTAGATTAACTTGCTAACACGAATATGTTTCTTTAGACATCGAACCTCATCAGTTTTTATGATATTCATATATTTTCTAATCATGTGTATGCTTTTCTTCAGAAATTATTGCTTTCTCATGAATAATTAAAACTTGCAAATTTCTCTCCATCTGTTGAAAATCATGGAAGCGTAAATGCGTTAGAACATTGGGATCAAGTTCAACGAATTCTAGCATTTTTTTTGGTTAAGCAGTCGTTATTTTGAATGTCATATCTTAGAAATGAATTAAGTCAATAAATTCAAAACGTTCTATTGATTTCATTAGCATTGGTAACGGGTTAAGGTTAGTTGCTTTATGGTTTATAGCCAAACATTTAAATTATTTTTTGCTTTGTCGGGGCACTAAAAGTGTGGCTAATGAAAGGCACATGTGCTGCGGTTAACCGCAAAATTTGACTACATAATACTGATGCTTAAATGTAATGGAATTAGATTTTTTTGTTTTACGCGTGCGCGTGGTTTGTTTAATTGGTGTTCCAAGAAACCTATTAGAATATTGTAATTGGAAAACAAAAGAGCGGAAATAGCTGAATTTCAAGTTTGAAAAGGTATTCATAGGTCAGATTGTTCTATTGAATAGCGCTCTAAAACATGGGTTCTAAGTTCACTATTTTTGCTATATGCTACCGTTGCCTCTGTTACAAAGCGAAGATCTCTTTCGGGCTTGAGGCCCCTAACACTCGGTGTCTAAAGAGGTCAAATTCTTGGGGATTACATTAGACTCAACCTTACGCTGGAGCAAGCATGTGGATTTAACATTGCCCAAAGCCATCAAGGCACGCATAATATGCCAACGCCTAGACAGCAGATCGTGGGGCTGCAATCAACTCTAAAGCAGTACAAACATAACATACTGCTAATGGCAGTAGAGGCTTTCTTCAAAGGGGAGATAATATCGTCTCATCAAACGAGGATCATAGGGGAAGACACACTGCTGGCCCTTCCTCCAAAGGACGGCCGACAAACTAGCCTGCTCTGCGGCAGCGTCCAGAATGATTGGACAGGAACCATGTATTGCAGTGGGGTTCCACACTAAAAAGAAGCTGCGCCGCACAGAGAAGAGGGGAGATAATAGTATTGACAGCAAGCAGCAGGAATGTGTTATGCCAAACTACTTCTGGGAGAGTGCAACCTTGTAAGGTTTAATGAAATGAAAATTTGTCCACCCCCTTGACGTGCTCTATATGGGGCACTGCAAGCTCAGAAAGCAACATAAGTAAAGTCTCTTGCGCAAACTGCCGGTTGGATGACATTTAACAGGAAACTTCAGAAAAACTGATTATAGATTCTTCAGTTATTTGCAGAAGCAGCCTCAAGACCTACATTAACACTGATCATATCACCTCAATCGCGCAGCAGGTTCCTGGAACTGTTCAGGATATTGGACCTTTGTAACCATATGTAGTACAGGGGAGGGCTCAATAGACCAAAGATCGTTGTGCAAAGCCTCAATTTTATTATCTATCTATCTGTAGGGAAAAATAGAACAATTTCGTTGATTTCTGGAATAGAGTAGACAAATATCAGGGATACGAAGCTGACGAATGGTCTTTCGACACATATTGGAGTTCTCTTTTGTATTGGAATTCTCTCTTGTAAAGTAAAATAGGTTACATGAATTCGAAATAGTTTTACATTGGAAGTAGGTGTAGTTAAGGGCTACTTTTGTACAATCATTATTACATTTTCTTTGTACAAATATTATTAAAATGACTTTTGCTAATTAAATGGAGTAAATTGTGAGAATTAAGTGAAATAGATATTTCTAATTATGAAACATCAGAAACAGGCTTTAATGGCATCAAGAAACAATAACTGAAGGTGATGTTTGTTTTAAGAAGGGTGGGGAACTTTTTGAAAACAATATTGAAGCCTCCTTTAGGCCACATTTATCAAACTTTAAGCACTTATACCGAAAAGAAGATTAATTTTGTGATGGAAACACGTGAAAGGCCTTAAGTTGGTCTTCGAAAGTTAGCTGACATAAAATCTTACTTTGATGTCATCGTTAAGTTTTCACAACTATAAATCTAAATACTACTATTATAATAGAATATCTTTGCTATGCAATAAGTATATATAGTAAAAAAGGCGTCATTTATTTCAACCAGAAAATTGATTTACATTTCTTTCAAAGTTAATAATTTCTCGAATTCAATGGGCATTTAATATTTTATAATTTTTCTAGACAAAAAAAGAAGGCATTTTACTTACCCAAGCAGGTCGTCAGATCCAGCGCGCCCGCATATAGGCAACCATTCTTCCGTTTTATCACATTTGCCAGCTTATCCACACAGAAGCATTCATTGTCGTGCTCCGGGCCAATATCGTTGATGAAATTCTCACCGATCGAATAGCGAAAACCGGGTATGCCCTGATACTGTATATCACTTTGATAGAATAACTGCACCGAACGACAAATATCCGCACTAAAAATGTACATAGAATCACCACGTTTGCGGAAGGGGGGATACGATGAAGCATCAGTGCCATTGATTTGATTGCACATAGAAGTTTCGCCCTCGGAACCATTCAGCCACACCTGAAGATTGTGTGAATCGTCGAGTTTCTGAATTTCGAGCACACGCTGTGCATCGCCTTTGCCCGTATGCACTTCGTACACTTCATTGCCAGTGCCGTTTTTCTACAACAATAACAATAACAGTGATTAGCGCGACTCAGTGATGCGTGTGAAAATGATTTGCTGTTTTTGTTTTTAAGTTTAAGTTCTGATAAATACTCACGTGATTGAAAAATGAGAATGCCAAACTGCCGTCGCTCAGTTCACGTATCGTCTTGGAGCCGCCCTCTTTGATTTGATTACAAATAGCTTTCGCAATACCATTCGTGTTTATGCAGAAGCGCACGCCATCGAAGAGAAACTCACGCACGGTGGTGGCGAGAAACATCGATTTGGGATCGTTGAAGACGGCCTTCAGATTGGCATTCAAGTGCACCAGCAACAACGACAAGCCCGGATCATTCTCGGCGATCGTCAGCACCGACTGCAATGAATATGAGTTATATATGTTTGTATGTATTTACGCATGATTAAAGCACTTATTAAATATTTATTGCGTTTTTAGCATTTTTAGCGATTTTTCATTAACTTTTATTGGGTATAAAACACCAACGCCAAGCTTAAACTACATTCTCATGCTTATTTACAGTTTTATTTCCGATCGAAGCGTTTAATTGCCGAGCATGCAATTAACTTAGCGCCGAAACCAAAGCAGTCGAGAGCAAACAAGCGGCTGTTTAACGGTAGGCTAGCGGTAGCTGTGAGGTTATGGGCGCGCATGCGTGTTAATTGCAATTTCAATGCAGTAAAAGAAGCGTAAATTTTTAATTACTAACTATGTAGTGATGTAAGTATGTATTTGTGTACTGGAAGCAGCGATAAGCTGAGTAATCAAGCTTTTATAAATATATGTATGTACATGTATTTTGTATTATGAGAACTTTGACAGACGGATAGGCCTATGAACATTATGTATTGTATAAGGGATCTAATGAATGTATATTTGTATGTGTGCGTGAATAAGTATATATATATATACTTATATTCATAAACAAAAATTTCTGTGCAAAATATGTAAATGAAGCAACTAATCAAAAACCGCCAAAGGCGCATTAAAATACCGAGAAATTAAATAAATAAATAAAAATTAAATGAAATAATAAAAAAATTAAGAAATGTTAATAAATATAAAATCATACAAAACAAAACAATGTCATTGTCATATTGTGACAGATGTTAAAGAAAATAAATCATTTTTATGTTGTGTTAATTATTAGTTAATTATAAAAAATTGCATAGGCTGACAAGCAGGTTACTAGCGTTCTCAGGCGACAGCTGAACTTGACGATTTTAAATTTGTATAAACTCAAGCGAACCTCAAGCACTTACTTTTACTTGCTTCAATATTTTGTTGAAAATATTGTACATCCATTTATAGGGTGCTACAAGTAGTCGAAATAAGTATGATGTCAAGTTACGGTGGATATGTATTGGTATCAAGGAAAAGAGAAATTTAAATATTTTTTTATTTTTGTTTTTAATTCTTTTGTAAGTTGAGTTCATTAAAAAAGTTAGAAAAACTGTTTTGTACCCAGAAAGTCGTAAGTCTAAAAAATATCATTATAAACTAATGTTTTCTAAATTTCGTTGCCGCAATTGTAGTTTAAAATACCTGCTGAAAGCTTTTTAAACAATTCTGAAACTGTTTGTATAAGCAATTCAAAAAATGCATAGAAAATAATACTTTGTGGAGTTAATGAGACGCCAGATTCTATTAATTGGAGGTAGATCTCGGACAATCCTTCAAGTTTCCGGTATACTGCGGAATCGAAATTGAGTTTTTTATTGCTTACGATTCACTACATCAAATTACATGCAAGATGCGTTCCAAAGTATACCAGACTTAAAAAAAACAGAACATATGGTTTTTTTTTCGGCAAAATCAATTTATTTTATTCAAAATAGTATCCTTCTGCTTCAATTCAGCCTTTCGCACGGTCCAAAAGCATGTCGAACGAGAGTTTTAGCTCGTTGGTCGCCAGTATGCCGTTGCAAGCCTTTGGCATCTACGTCTGCATAACGCTTTCCTTTCATGGGCAAATGCAATTTCGGAAAAGGAAGAAATCGCACGGTACCATATCAGGTGATTACGGAGAGTTAATGGTTAAAATGTGATTTTTGGTCAAATAATCGGTCACAAGAGTCGATCGATGAGAGCAATTTTTGGTCGTCAGTCAATTTGTGCGGAACAAATCGTACACACACCCTTGTTAAGACCAAATGTTCGGACCAAATACGATAATTCGATGGTTTGGAGATACTCAATTCCATTTCAATTATGATTTCGGCTGATTTTTGATGAATTCACGCACAGTTTCGATGAAATTTCCGGTGATCACGGATTTTGATTGGCCCACATGTTGATCGTCATTTATGTCCTCACGACCACTTTGAAAAGGTTAAAACTAATCGTGCATTCTGCTACGGAATAGCCAATCATCGCCATAAACTTGTTTCATCAATTGAAACGTTTCGGTAAAACTTTTACCAATTTTAAAACAAAATTTAATGTTGGCTCTTTGTTCGCAGCTCATTTTTGCACAGATAACACAAACAAACTGACACTTAAAACCAATAACTTCACTTCCAATCTATGAAATGTCGTGAAATTCTCGTTGGACAATCGATAAAGATAGCAGATTCTGACGCACCAGTCGACATATAGATGAAAAAAGTCCGATTTACTTTGGAACGCTCCTCATATATGTATTTAGCATAAAATTTTCAGCTTCCAATTAACATAAAGAAAAATTTTGTTTCAATATGAGTGGTTTGAATATATCGTTATTCCTTCCCCTGTACACTTTTGAAAAGTGATGTTATGATAATTTTCATTTTAGGTGACGATATACTCGTTCTTAGCCAAGCGGTAATTATGGCAATAATCTCACATACGTCAGCGAATATTCTTAGAAGTGGAGAAGTATTATATGTATTGGCTGCCGGAATACTTGTATTCTAAACCACAAGAACATTCCGGAAAACCAAGTAGCTTATGAGATTGAAAAAATGATATCCGTCTGACTACTGAAACGGTACATGCAATACACAAGTATCTTATAACAATACGTCTTGAAATTTCCGAAGCGGTAGACAGACGGATTAGTGGGAGTTGGAAGTCTTAAGGACCTATAGAGTCGGCAAGAACATTTGAAAAATTCCAAATGAAAACACTCAAAAGATCTCGAAAAGATTACATAACGGTTATTAGCCTAATGGCAGACCAAAACTTACTGGGATCAGACACGATCCAGATGGGCATTAGTAACAAGAACACATACAAAAATTGCAGGGAAAAAGAAAAACTTCTCCGGCCTCAAGTCTTATCTAGAATTTGTTTTAACTATCTAGGTGCTTCGCAAATCAAAAATAGATTTTAAGCCTCTCTTAAAGTTCGCAAAAAGCGTTGACGTACTGTCTGATGCATATTCCAGTTCTACACAACTGAAGGTCTATGTAAGGCGTGACGGCCGACGAGTGTTACATAACCTAACCTTTCCCTTTGATAAATTTCTAATAAAAAAAATTGTTACCTGTGTAGTAACAAAACCTATAACAACGACACTTTGGTGCGGTTTATGGGCCGGCGGCGTCATTGGGCTTTACTTCTTCTGTCATGATCAAGACCGGCCAGTTACTGTGAATGGAAATCGCTACCGGTCAATGAAAACCGAATATTTTTGGCTTAAATTTAATGGTGAGGACTTGGACAAACCCAACGGAAGATGTCAAAATCGATTTCTTGAAAACAAAGTTTGGTGAGAACGTATTATCTCGCGAAATGACCCATTGCCATGATTGGCCGTCTCGGTCGTGTGATTTGGCGCCGTTAGACTATTTCATGTGGGCCACGACAAGTCTATGGTCTATTGGTGAACTTTGTACCAATTGCAGTATCGGCTGATTTATGTGCGAAAATCTTTGAAAATTGGGAAATTGAAATTGAAATACATATCGGCATTGAATTTACTTTTACAAGAGCAAAATCATTCATTACTACCCCAAATCTTCCTTTATTATGTTGGTCGGTAGATGTACTCAACCCTAGTCTAGTTTAGTGGAACAGGGCCTCTATGGGCTTGTATGAAAAACCTAATTTATGATGAGACTAAATTATGACCAATTTTGTAATATGTGACACTTGATGTGGAACCATCTTTATCTTTCATAAAAATATTGTCGTTTCGAGGGAGTCGCTCATTAAAGATACTGGCTAATTGGTAATGTTTTTTGCTTGTTTCTATTTTATGTACTTCGAAAACCGTCATGTCAATTTAAGCTGAAAAGTCTTGCTAAATGTGTCTATATGGAGTATACTTAGTGCTTTGCTAATTTATATTTCACCAAATTTGTGAAGACGTCACTCTTGTCAAGCATATATGAAAGCTTTCACTTCGGAATTCAAAACAGCTGCAATTAATGAAATATCTTCGAAAATACAACTGAACTGAACATCAAACACCTGCTCGGATAGCTTGGAGAAACCAGAAAAGATAGTTACGTAAATTCACGCTTTCATTGTGTGGATCAGGTTCTTTTTCAAACGCTAAATAAATTTGCATTAAAATTGTTTAATGGTAGGTTTTATGCATAAATTAGAGGTATTTTGTCCCGAACAGGAATATAAATTAGCATAAAATTGGACCACGGTAGATAAGCTAAAGAAACTAAGTAACTGTAGAACTTTTCTGTGTAGAAGAGTATAATTTTTGCATCGATTTTATGATGATTTATATTGATTCGAAATTGTTTATAAAATGGCATTGTCAATAATTATGATATTGATGAATACCTCAAAATATTTATTTATTTTATTTTTTGAATAAATATATTTATGTTTATAAATATAAGTTTAAATGTTTAAAAAAAAAAGTCTTTATTTTCCAATGAAAACTTTATACAGATAACGTACGAGCGGTTGCTCAGCTGACTCCGAGCACCTGGAGAGTCAGGAAAAACATTTGTGAAATTAACCCCAATTTTTGAATAACCTAATCACACTGACCCACTTGTTGGGGTACACTTTATCACCGAAACAAGTATTCGAATGATATTAGGAAAAAAGTCTTGCGGTAATATTTATTTATTTATTATTTTTATTTTATAACGGTTTGATGACTCATGCCCAGCTCTTGACCGATGCTACGGCTGCTACTATGCCGGTCTCTTTCGACCAATTCTGCTATTTTATCGCAATTTTCGACGACAGACCTTCCGGAGCGTGGCGAATCTTCGACCACCTCTACACCAGAACGAAAACATTGAAACCATCGTTGTGCGGTGGAAATGGAAACTGTATCGGGTCCATAAACTGCACAAATGTTATAGGCGGCTTGAGATGCATTTTTGCCTTTTGAATATAGTAGTATTGTAAAATATGCCATATTTTCTCTTTATTTTGCTCCATGTTTGCGACACTATAACTTACGAACGACTTAAAGGAAACAGCAATCAATCAAACAAGTGTTAGCGCGTGAAATGAGCTTTCCAAAAAGGTATAGCATGACCCGATGCGACGAATAAAACTAGAACTACGCGCTCTTTGCGCCAATTAGCGAAAATACCGCAAGACTTTTTTGACAACCTAATATAAAGCATTCTTTGAAGCTAGTGAAGTTATTGAAAAGTTGCCTCATGCGAGTCGGTTATCCACCGCTCTTAATAACATCGAAAATATCAAAGAAACAGTGCTTGGAAATCGTCGTGTTGAAATTAGAGTGTTCACAGAAGATTACAACATCTCTTATGGATCGACCTGACAAGTCAATGTCTTGGATATGAAGGCTGTCATTGCTAGACTCGTGCCAAAAGACCAGAATGTGTTGTAATAACAAAGTGAATATGACGTCGAAACTTTTAAATAATCTAGCCAATCACGCTCCAAAAATCAAAAAGAAGCAAAATTTGCTGAAGCCACTGATAGCTGGAAAAGTCGAGACCCTTTTAGGGCTGGAATGAACGATTGGACATAGTATAAGCTGTTTTATATAAAATTTCAATAAAATTTTATATTTCAATGAATCAATTATATTTAGTCAATGTGACTAAACGAGAAGACGCAAATACAAGTTTGAATTGAATTAAACTTATACTACCTCTAGAGCCTATTTAGAAAGCAATAATAAAGATTTGTACTAAAGCACGTGAAAATGTAGTTTTTTTGTCACTTCGGATCATGTATGGGATGGTACGTTAAGGCACCAATATCATCTGTTGTTCAAGGTGTGATGCTCGTGTACGCAGTACTCGTCATATCCTTGTAATAGATGGCTTCAGCTTATTTTTGAAATACTCTAGGTGTGGAATATCTAATATTTCACATTAATATTTGACCTCTGTATGGCCGGATAAATTGATTTACATTGTGTCTGCTGCCAGTATGTGTGTCGATTGTGCCTATCTAAGAGCCTAGTTCAAAGAGTGAATTTATACAAATTTTCGAGAAATTTGGTGGGAAACAGGTAGTAATGATTATTAGTTAGTTAACCCTTTCCGATGTACCCGTAATTGTATAAATAATTTTTGTTAATGGGTTAAGTGCCCGCAATTCATTGCAGGCCATTTGATGAGTTAGAAAATTCAATATAATCGTCAGAATGAAAGTAAAATTTAGTAAGCTACCCACTTAATCACCAATTAAAAGCCGATTAGTTATAGCAAAAGGATAGTAGAAGGTACATATTAGATAAATTTTAGATTTTTGTTTTGATATATAAAAAATTTACTTTACGTTTCCCACGTATGCGCTCCATCAGACGTTTCAATACACGAACGCCTGGCGTACGGTTGAGCCTATGGTTTAATCTATTCGCAAAACCCTGAAATATATCAGTTATTTCTCTTTCGAACACTTGTAAAAACGCCTGTAAATAATATATATATATTCGATTAATAAAAGTGTATGTGCGAAGTGGACTTAATTTAATTTCACGAAAGATTTAGAATTTGAAAGAAATATTTATTGATGGCAGATCAAATTTCACTTTTCGCCCGTAAGTTTGCTGCAAAATATCACAAACTCTTCGCCTGTAAGTATCATAAATAAAAGCCAATAAATATTTCTTTCATGAATTCAATGCACTCCAATCTTTCTTTGTCTCTTGCTTACATTCATATGCATATTGAGCACCACAATGTGATCGGATTGTGTGTACGGTGCTGAGGCTTCTTCATCAAATTCAAAGTGCTGATCCTGCACATAGCTAATCTTAGAACCATCACGTGAGAAGTGCTTCACCTTCTTGCGACGATATTGCCTGCATTTTAAAGAGTAATATTACCAGTTACAAGTAGTGAAAATTTTTACGTAAACACTAAGTCATCACTTACCTGTATACATAGGGTCCGATCTCCTCCACAATTGGAATGGCGCCTTGTTGTATCTTATGCGCGTTGGTCACGTTGAAAATATACACTTTGAAGGTCAACGGCTGTGGGAGTTGAACGAATCGCTTGTATTGTTCAGAGCCATCAGCAATAATTACACTCTGGTGAAGAGAAATGCAAGAGTGTGGTGAGAAGTCGTTTAATTAATTTCGTTTTTTTTTCATATTGATCGACTATAAATTAATATGTTGTCAATGCAATTAATAAAATAAGTTCAAAAGATTTGTGAGATAAGCTTAACGAGCGCTCCGTTCGATGTAATTATCCTGTGATATATGGTCACGGCATATCGGTGGTATTGAAATGCATACGTAAGTAAGGACGCATTAGCGTGGATCTTTTAATGTAAGAGACAATCTTAATAAGTTAAATGAGGCTAAAGTTATTTGGCTTGTCAGCTATATTTTTTGTGGAAAAAATGCTCTCACTAAGTGTGTCTGCAAATCTATCCAGGGTATGTCTCTCCAAAATCGTGTTTCATCGTTTTGATACTATAATATTCCACTTTGAGATTGTCAATAGGCTAAATCACAATTGAAAGAAAAATTCGAAAGAAAAAATTAATATAAGAAAAAAAAATCTTTTGGATACAACTGAGTTTTGGACCTGCTTATATAATATATAGTACGACACATTTATTTAATAGGTGAAAAGAGACCTCAGCTCTTGAAAGAAAAATGCTACAGGGTCACACAAAAAATGTGTGTAGTACACTGAAAAAAAGTGTGAAAAAATCCAAGGACTCTTACCTTTAAGAAAAAGAGAACTATGTAACTTGCTAGATGTCATCCCAGGGAACTTACCCATAAAATCTCATCTTTAGAAACTTGTGTGACTGTCGTTTTTTCTAAGGTTTTCTAAGAATTTTTTACAATGAAGTTTAAAAAATGTAGTTTCCAGAAAAGCACTCTAAAGACCTTACTTTCTCACTCCTGTAACTTTTTGAATACATTAAATTTTGGAAACTTACTTTAGCAGCCTACGAAACTGTCAAACACGATGATCCCCTTAAAGTAAAATGGTGAGAATGTCGCTTGAATGACGCCACCTAAAACAATAATATCTTTGCGCGAAGTAGTTTTCACGATATTAAACGGGAGTTCCTGGACATTTCCGGAGCGTTCAATAACGCCTCTACGGAATCTAATCTCAATAGAATCCAGTCAATAGATGTTGATCCTGATTTACAACGCTGGATTAGAAGCCTTTTGTCATCTAGACGTATAAGAGAAGAGTTGGAATGACCAAGGAAGTCTATAGAAGCACTCCGCAAAGTGAAGTGCTATTTGCTAAGGAACTTGAAAGGTAAACCCTTAAGAGAGTGGCATATGCGGACGACATGGTTATCATTCCGCTTTCTATGCATGTGGGCAGATGCTCGGCACAACTTGCAGGATCTCTCCCTCTCTCATACACCGGTGGTACACAGATGTTGTAAGACTAATTCTGCTTTACGGTGCAGTAGTATGGTGGACAGGCTTACGGAAACCCATCTACGGGAAGCCAATGGAAAGAGTTTAGATGCTAGCTGCGCTGTGCGGAAGCTTTAAGAACAAATCCAACTACGGTTCTTGAACTGGTACTGGTAGTAATCTCGTATCGCATATCGGAAAGAACTGTATTGAGATCAGGGTAGTAGTGTAAAGTAGTGCCAGAAGCAATAAACTGCACTTTTACACAGTACTAGGCTACAAAGGAATCGAGTGCAATGAAATAGTGGACGAGATTGCCAAGAATGGTGTACGGAATGAAATTCGCGTAAAGCGCAGGCGTCCTAAAGGACACGTCATGGACCCAGCAATGTTTTACATCTGAAAATTTTTTGTGCCTTGCCCTAGAATAACAATGAGTTATTACCATTTACGACTATATGCTAAACACTGTGGTAAATTCTTTTACTGGCTCTCATTTTAAGAAGAGCCTTAATAACTCTTTCCGTTCATATACATATACATACCTACAAATGACGTGAATGTATTAGCATTCTTAATGTGCTCACGTAAACAATAAATAATGTAATTTGATTGCGATTTTGGCGCGATTCTAATAAAAAATAAATATAATATCGTCAGGCATTCTGAGTTTATTGTTATGAGGGTAATTTGCATTCTTTGTACTCTAATTATATAGTTGAAACATTAAAAAATGGGTCAAGTGACTGAAAGATTAACTGAAAGTATTCCATTATGAAATTGTCGCAAATTGTCAACTTTGTGCTGTCAACGTTCATTTAGCTTGTTTATTCCAAACGACACAAATATTTTTCAAATATGTTAATTAAAATTTTTTCGAAGCCTTTAACCCCTTCGCTTTAAATTTAGGTTCAGCGTATTATGTAAATGATTGCAAGCGTTAAATAAAAGTATTAATTAGAAGCTCTTTATTGCCACACTTATTATAGCGGTTCAGAGTAATATTCCTCATATAATTTTTTTGACGTTAGTTTTCCTTTTTTAACGTATAGAAATATTTGAGATTTTTAAGGATAGATAGATTTTTTTTTGGATCCTACTATTGACACATAACATATAGCCAATGTTAAAAGGGGTATAAACATTGGCGCCGTGCAATGTTGAACTTGTGGAAATATTACTCTCTTTTAATATCATTATCGGCATCACCATCCAAATAGTAGTAGTCATTTTCAGTCTCAGAAATATCACTAATAGTAGTGAATAGATATGTCGTCCTTGAGAATCAGAGTTTCCTACAGCTCACTTTACGAAAGTAGGACTGTCTCTGTTTTCAAAATATACCCCTTTTTGGGGTGTTCGAAAAAAAGATAGATAAAATAGTAAATTTCGTCTTTGAAGCTTGTTCACTCTGAGGTGGTTTCACTAAGATTTGCTGAGGCTAGGATGGCCGGGATGCTTCAGCTTCAATCCTTCAAAACCTGGAAACGGTGAATCGCCTGGCTGTTTTCATCTCACCTAATTCCATAATTGTTTTGATAAAATGAGCCTGAAAAGTTTTTTAGCCTTACTCCATATACATAGGTCTGTTTCCAGTAACAACTTCTACGATTGCGACAAGACGAATCTTGTTAAGAGCAAGTAAAATTAGTAGATCTCCAGCAATTTACTCCAAGTAGACCAATGTAAGATTACAAATTACCTTTATGGTTCACAGCGAATCCGCTGCAAACGGGCACACAAAGGAACCTGATAATGAACAAACTTGATGCTGTCATATACTCTAGTTAAATTTGGCCCACAGTGGGTATGTTAATTAGCGTTGCTATACTGTTTTCGAAATTAATGCACGCATCCCTGAAAGAGGTTAGGCTTCGGAGCAATTCATTCTCTGCTATATTAATGGCTGCCATATGTGCTTGAAAACGCAGCAATGTTGTGGTAGCCTAAAGGTAACCCAGATGGAGACCGCTTCTTCAACCTATTCCTTAGCTTTAACCCATTCGTGAAAAAGCCTGCTTCGCCTTAAATCCACTGTAGTCGCATTTCATCCACATTCGCTCGTTGGTATGTGAGCAGAGAGATAGCCACCTGGAGTAGACTCGGTCCCATGGTGAACTTAGTTTTCAAGGATGCAGTTGGAGAAATATAATATTTCACAAAAACTTTCCTTGGACTATTCCATGTACCCAGACTTCTTTGGTCTGACAACGACCTTCGCAGCAATACACCTCCTGGCTATACCGATGGATGTTATTGGTGATTATAAAGCTTCTTAGCGAGTACAGCTTTTTCGAGCGCTCTCCAACAATCGAAAAATACACAGAATATTATTGGTGTTGCGTACTAACTTTTCTATTAAGGATAAGCCGCAGGTACGCCACCATGTCAGATTGCAAGTGAGAAGAGACAGACCCCAAGGTTTTTATACATCCTGGTAGGGAAAACCATTTCAGTTTTGATTTCTCGACAGTTTCTGTTCAACCAATGGAACATTACACTGAAATACCTGCACGCAAAACAGAACAGAAACAGACAAGAAATTTATATTCTAGAGAGATGATTATCAAATATACCCATAAGCCCTAAATTTAGTATCCTCTGATAGCTCCAGATCCATAATTTTTTAGGGTACTTGTTGTACACGTTATTTACTTTATTTACAAATAAACTTCATCTTTAGAAACATTTTTTATTCTTCAAAGTGTAAGCGTATGCTATTTTAAAGCATAGTTTTTTTCTATCCAACTCAGTATGCCAAACCAAGTATGTGATGTTCTTGGAAGACTTGTCAACTTCACATAGTTCAGACTAGTAATCAATAGCATGAGACCTCGAAGAAAGCATCGTTCTGTTTTTTATAGACTGATGTTGTAAACTGATCTTCACAGAACTTTAACATATAAAGTTATATATGTTATTACGGTAGAAGCATTCAGCAATAGACTTATCGAAAATTTGTGAATGACGTCGTTGTTCTTCGAATGAATTATGCATTTTACCTTCTAAATGGCCTTAGTAAAGAATGCGCTTTAATTTATGCGTGTCTTTATGTGGCAATTCGAACACGCCGTGCATGGTAAATACCAAATGACAATATATTGTCCTCACGATCCAATCAAGTGTGACTAAAAAATAAAATTCCAAAAAAATGTCACTCGGTGGCCAAAACCAAAAATAGTCACCTCGACTTGAAATCAGTTCTTCTAGGACACAAAGAATGCATTGACAGTCAAAATCGTTGAAATACTAAAAAAAAAAGCAGCACGAAAAGTTTTAAGTGTTTTTTTTTTGTACGCCATAAGTAGCAACAAAAATGCATTCTCAATGCTCATAATTAAAATTCTGTTCGCGTTGGGCGATACAAATTGGGGCCACGGCAGCCGATTCGAAGGAGAGACATGTAGAAGAAGCAACAACAAAGCGGCTATAGTTGGTATAATAGCAACAAAAACAAGAATAATATGTCCATTAAAATGACAACTTGGCTAATTTACATTTAGTTGGAACAGCCTAAATTTTGTTCTGTTGTCATATTTCAGCGATCGGTGCTTGTTGTTTGCCTCTTCTTCGTCTTCCCCCTGTTGAATGACAAAAATGTTATTTAGTGTTAAGCCATTTTAGCTGTTCGCATGCAAAACATGCATAAATATTAACAATTTAATGGTCGAAAAAGCAATTAAATTTTA